TTCCCCTTAATTCTTAGAACTCTGAGGAAAATTAATTCCCTTGCCTGTATGGTCCCAGAACCTACATATATTCATTTTCTGATGCTACCAGTTTTCAAATACCTCATATTTCTATGCTATTATAATATTCAGAAATATACCTTTACAGATAAATCTTAGCATGTGTATCCTGTTTTGGTCATGACCATGATAGAAATAAAATATTAATTACCATTTGTTGAATATTATAGATTAAGTATTTTACATACATTAACTAATATAATACTCATCTTAATACTATAAAGTAAATAGGACTACCCCATTTATACAGATGAGAAAACTGGGATCTGAAAAATTAAATATCTAAATTAAGTTTCTATATATGTTCAGTGACAGAGATGTGAAGCAAACCAAGGGTTTTATTGCTCCAGAGTCCACTCTTTCCAGAGTTCTTTACTATCTTGTTTAAAAAATATATATATTCTCCATTACATCAGAGCCCCAGGCACATGTTTAACTGTTAATAGTTATTTTGAGTATGCTAAACAAACATATAACAAAATGTGATCGCTATTTCTTCTACATCATTTTTAAAAATATTTTACTTTTACATATTTAAAACCAATTAGCAAGTTTTGAGCACCTACTATATGGTAAGCATTATATACATATTTAAAAAATATCATGTCGCTTAATCTAATCTCTTTATCTTCACAATATTCTGAGATACATAAAAAATACTCAGTTTTTGACATAAGAAACAACATGCTCAGGTAATATGTGGAAGAAGATAAATTGACTCATAAATCTTATTCCCTTAAAGGAAAATCATGTGCCCTTTGTGACATCATGCTGGGTACTACTAAAACAATCTAATCAGGACATTTTCATCATTTTGTAACACAAATGTACTTTCAAAACAAGATTAGGGTACATGAGAGAGTGATTGAGTGTCGGTCTGATTGTTGATTGGACAAGCTGCATTTTCCAGGTAGTAATGAAGAAGCAAGTGACCTGTGACATTTGTAATTTTTTGCTTGTGGCCTGACATCACTGGGATTTTGTTGGCTGGCTTTACGGTGGTAAAATAACCCCTTTACCAAATGATTCATGCTTAACTTGCTTGTTCTGTAAGAGGCATGCACATTAGTATCAAAGGTAACTGTTCACATTAAGAGACTAGATCTCTACATCAAATGACAGGGCTAATTAAAAGCAAAATGTGCCTAAATGATGTTGCTCAGATAATAATGGCAAGTGTGGTGGTGAAACTTGAAGTATGTGCTAAAACATTTTCTGAGATAATCTTTAAAGCAACATGTTTGAAAGTCAACTAAATCAAACTATCAATGCTTCAATTCTCAAAAAGAATTCTTAATGCATAGTTCATGACATTTTGATAATCCACAGTGCCTTTGAGTGCTTTGTTGCTTGGCGAAAAACAGCTTACCACGGCATTGTTCTCTTTTTGATTCAAGGAGTTACATTAACACATTCTCTTCTTTGGGAGTGGGTTTAAGGAAAAAGGAGAAGGCAGTTTACAAAGTTTCGTTTTTTTTTTTTTCTTTTTCAAACTTTTAAAAAACCGAACTACAAATTATAGCTATAAAAATGTAGCTAAAAATAAACATCTTCCCATTAGCTGAGTCACTACATCTTTGAGGGCTTTTGGTATAAAAACTATAAAAAATATTTGGTTAAATCGTCCCTCTTATTTCACCTTTACTAACTATTGTCTTTTATTGCTTAACTCAATTCCATGTTTCAGCATTACACTTTGATCCAGAAAATTGTTGACCAAAGTTTCTAGAATGAGAATAATGTTATGTGGTGACAAAACAAGCTGCTATTCTTTTTTCATCAGTCATTTTCTCTACCATATTGTAGTGGAAGGCAGTCTTACTTTCAAGAATAAAACTTGGAAGATTTGTTTTGCATTGTGAAAGGCAACAGCTCTCTCATTAGCCTTTTTGCAGTCAAATACTTGGTTTAGGTCACACAGCACCAATTTACTATATGACATCTACATCACTGCCATCCAAGCCTTCTCCCAAAAGATCTCACCTGTCAAATCAAAGTAAACTACATCAACATTTTACAGCATCACATCCCTTCACTGATCTGTGCTTTCCCTGAACCCTCATATGAATTCCAAGATCTTTCCTTTATCTATAACTATATTCAAATCATCAAGAAAATATAAGCACCCTTTTAAAATTTTCTCTTGTTAAATTAAAATGTATACATCCCTAACACAACCTTATATTTTCTATGACTGACTCACTCCTTAAATCTTAATATGTTAACTCTTCCATCGAATTGTTTAATTGTTTTTTTGTATGTGCAACCAGGTTAATTCGGTTCGTTATAACACTATAAATTCATGTGTCTCTTTTACATGCACTTTTATTAGTTCGCCATGGGGTGCATATATCAAAATGCCATTCTGAATATAGAATAATAATTATGAATTTTTGAATGCTAAATCTAGGAATAGCATAATCATTTCACCTTGTCTGCCAACAGCTCTTAATTAGTAAGGAATGCTGTGAGCACTGGGTTAAGAAGGACTCTGAGGGTACATCAAAGCTCAGTGGGAATAAATGTCGTGAAAATGTCTGTCAAAGGAGAGGGTACAGGTAAGACGTATGCTCCAGTTATTTTTATTCCAGAATTTGAGCACAGGAATTAGGATTTACTTTTTATAAGACATTGCTTAGCCCGGCAGCTAGTTGCTTTTTTACAAATACTAGCAGATGGTGTTGATAAAATTCATCCCTCCTGAGAACAAACACAAAAACTCGTACACCATATCCTCTAGGTTGATGTGGCATTTTTTTTTTTAATTAAACTATCATTGTCAGGAAGCATCAAAAGAACTCTCTAAAAGCAAAGGTTTCATCAAGGAGAGATTCTACTTGGGGGAAGCAATAAGCAAATCATTACAGAGTTATCAGCCCCCTGCAAAGTTATAAATTAAAGAATCAGTATGCCATCGAGTGGCAAAAAGCAGAAGAGGGAAGGCATGGGCTGAGCAGTCTCCCATCCTTTCTTTTGAAATGAATGACAACCATACACATTGAAAATACACTAGTCCTCTATTCTTTAAGTTTTAATGAAAAATTGGTTAGTGGGAGACAAATTACGCCTTAGAAAATTAGATCATATGCTCTATGAAGTATGACTTAGACTCTACCTTTAGCCAGTGAATATTAGTAACACATGAGAACTACTTTTGAGACAGGAAAGGAAAATTTGTACTTTCTACATGAATTATTGCCTCATTCAAAATGTTCTTGCTCTATATAATTTGTATTTTTAGCAATCCTCTGTGAAATCTTTTCTTAAAGCATTGTCCCTGGCTGAACTTCCTTCCACTCAATGGGAGATATTAATACCTTTCTTATCAAGATTCCTAGCATACTCTAGCGAGTCTGCTATTAAAGCAATTATCACACATTATTTTTAATATATAGCTCCCACATATGAGTGAGAAAGATTTGTCTTTCTGTTCCTGTATTTAATAATTACTTGATTACATTACGATCTGTTCCACTAGACTACAGGTTCTCAAAGGCAAAAATTGTTTCTTAATCAATCTTTTAATCCTCAGCACATGAAATAATGCTTTGTACAGAGTAAGCCCTTAATAAATACATTTGAATGAGTAAATTTACTCATTAGTATTAATTATTGCTCAGGAGAAAAAAAGATGAGCTTGGCAGACAGAAGTTAACCAGGCAGCATGTCCAAAAACACTGGGTGTCACTTTTTTCATAGATAAAAATATGATAGAAGTTAGAATGGAAGTCAAAGGAAATAGGCCTGCAGGGACCTGTGAATGAGTAGGGGCGTAGGGCATATATTCTGGAAGCAGAGTCTAACCCTGAAACAAAAAGGGCAACATCAACAAAGCAATAGAAGTGTTGGTTTTAGGATTAGATTTGGATAGAAGGGTACTTGATAGTATCCATTTTAAATTAGTCTTTGTTGACTGTATATCATTTCTTTACGGAGGAGATGGTAATAGGTACTAAGGAAAAGTGGGATGATAGAGCTAACATAAGTAATTACTTGGTTTGTACCTGACATCTATATGTATACTATTTCATCAAACTCTAACAGTGTTGTGATTTTGGTATTTCTGCCTATCACTTCATCCTGCTGTAGCTAAAGAAATAGTTTATAAAATTATTCAATTTTTGCTCAAAGGCTCTAGCTAGTAAGAGAAAGAATCAGTGTTTAGAATAGGGTCTTTCTGACTCCAAAGGTTATCATTTGAACTGAGATGGAGAGGAAGAGAGATTAATTCCCAGGTAGTGTTAAGAATTGAAATAATAAGTGTTGGTCTTCAGAATTTCTATAGACAAGATCCATCTATGTATTTCGCTAATGTTGAATATGTTCTATTTTCTTGCCTCTGTTCTTTCAACTTTTTCCACATTATTATATTATTTATTTTCCCTATAATACAAATAGCCTTTACAGTATTAATAACAAACAATACAGCATTAATTTTATAAATCTTCATGCTCTACTCTATCACAAATCTTTAAAAAATTAATTATCCTGTCAACATTTCTCAATAAAAGCGAAATAATGACTTCAACAACCTAATTAAATTTCTAAATATCATAAGCTCTAGATGTTTTTCTAATATAAATATGAACACACATAAAGGTATGTGTATGCATAAATATGTATATAAATCTAGAGATATAAATCACTGTTTCATTTCACAAGTATTCTTGTCTTAAAAAGCATTTAATATTTTCCTATACTTGTCATATAGTGTATGAGATACATATCTATCTATCTATATATATATTTGTTATATAGTATATGATACACACACACACACACACACACACACACACACACATGCACACTTGAGAGTCTGTAGAAGCAAGCACCAAACATTTTTCAAATGTACTGGCTAATTAGAACTCTTATTTTTTAAATATTTTCATTGTGTCAAACAAATATTCTATCAGTATAAAATATATATATATTTTTTTTACCTCTACAAATGGGAACAGGAAAATCCCATGAGGCTGTATTAACTGAATTGGCTATGCAGGTGAGTTGAGGGTGGCCATCAAGGATATATCCAGTAACACAGCTGTAGCGGATCTTGTCCCCAACTTCGAATCTCGTACCATATAATACACCTTTGGGTGGAACTCCTGGGTTTCCACAAGAGCTACTCTGCAATTCTACAGAAGAGGAGAAAAACGAGAATTTACAGTTATTTTGATACATACTTTATTGTTTTAGATTCATAAATTTATATGTAGATATAGATATCCATATTTCTTTGGAGAAGAGTTACAAAAAAAGAAATGTCTTCTACTTCAATTCGTGTGACAGTGAAGTACGAGAAATTTTACTATTATTTGTACTGGAAAATTTTAGATATTTTGTATTACTTAGTCTTAGAGTAAGTTTTGAAATTAATATTACTCATATCTTACAGATAAATAAAACTGAGCTTAAAACCACCTATGTGGCTTATTTAAAGTTATATGCTAATAACATAATAATAAACAAATTCATTTTCATTCATATGATCTCCAGTATTTTAATGTTTCTACTCAGCCTTAAACCATGAACATTCATCTGATAAAATACACATTCAGGGTGGAAACTTTTTTCATTCAAATGAGAAAAATATAGTGCAGCAGAAAATGGAGGAGATTTTGAAGTTAGAGAGATTGAGCTATAATTCTAGCTCTATTATTTGTTATTAACCTTGAATGTATAATAGGAATTATATTAGGCGAGGTAAAGACATTATATGTAACCAAATGTTTGTACCCCCATAATATTCTGAAATAAAAAGAGTTATAATAATAAACTAAGCACTATAGTTGTGACATTTTAATTGGATCAATATGCAAAATACCTGGAAAATGCCTTATGTATCAGAATATTTTACCTATCACCCTGTTATTCTATTAGTTTATGCTTAAAGGTAAACAAGTATAGTAATGTAAGAGATTTTTTACAATAATAATCAATTCAGAAAAAAATTCAATTTTACTTTAAGTGAAAAAATATATAAAAATAGTAGAATTTACAGAATAAAGACATAAGGGATAAGTTATTTTTCATTATGTTGTTTTCTAAGTTTTCTATTATATTCTTTTATTATATTACCTTTATACTATGAAATAATAATAAGTGAAAACACAAATAGTAATAAATTAATGAGATAAAATGTATTCCAATTTGAATAAACATACAGTTTAGTTAATAATATTGTACAAATGTTAATTTCCCAGTTTTGACAATTTTATTGTGGCTACATAAGTAGTTATATTAAGGGAAGCTGGTTACGAGTATAAAACTACTATTTTTACAAAATAATAACTTAAAAGTGACTTTGCGATGCAAAAATATGTTCCCATTTTGCCTTGATATTTATCTCATTTGTGCAATTAATAAGTTCCATACGGTATCATTATATTAAATCAAATAATTATAAATGATTTAAAATATAATATGATGTTAAATATAATGGCAATATTAAGTAAAAACATTAAATACAAAATGGTTCATAATATGTAGCTGCAGATTTACAAAAACAAAGTGCACTTATGCATAAGAATTGTATACAGAGTTGAAATTTTTATCTTTTTATCTATAATGACATTATAGTAATTTTGTGTTTTTAAAACTTACATTAATTTTGCTGTATGAACTTTCTAATGCAAGTAAAAAAATCACAGATTAATTTCAAATATGATGTCAGTTTAACAGAGGAAAATGTATAGAGGTCAGGACATCCATAAAACTTGTGATATGTTTTAAAGTTAAAATATTTACTTTGAATTTAAAACAGTTTTAGGTTTCTCAAATCTAGAAAAGTAAAGAACTTGACTAATAATTACTAAATGCAAATGTTTTAAATAAATAGTAGGCAATTTCCTTAATAATACATAATAAACTTAAATTTATAAAATATTTTAAATGTAAATAATGAAGGTTAATTATTTCTATTTTAGTATTTCACTTTACTGTTTCCCTAAGACATAAGCTGATTGTGCATTTTCAGTAAAACAACACAAATTCATTGTCTGTGAATTTTAAACAATTTTTTTAAAAAATGCTTTGAAGCGAACAGAAGTTTATTTTGAAATACCTAATTTTTGGAAAAATTAATTTGATTAATAGATGAAATATTTGCTGCAAGAGATGGTGAGGTTAATAAGTTTTGATAAAATGAATAAGAATCAATCCCTTGAATATAGTAATAACAAAGGAAACACTTTTAATGAAACTACCACTTTGGCCTTAGAATCAATCCACTCCTCTCCTTTCCACCCTCTAAAAAATAATTAAGGTCAGGACTTCAATTATCATAAGGTTTTATATCTAGGAGAAAAATAGTTTCCAGATTATTTCACAGGAAGCAGTTATGTGAGTGCATAAAGGAGAAAAAGGCTCTAAATAGTTGTTATATTCAAATTAAACTTTGGTTTAAGTGAACAAATAAACGTTTCCTAGAACAAAGTACCTAAAACATAAATGGAAAATATATCAGGTGAAGTAGTGAATGAATAATAACATTGGATGGACTCTTAATAGATTATCTAATCTCCTGCCTTATGGCTCAATTATTTTTAACCCATATACTGATAAAAATTTAGGCCATTTGAAAATGAAACGCAAAGAATATAATTTTAAAACATATCTGGTGCTCACCTTCAGGAAATTTCTTTTTTTTTTTTTTTTTTTGAGACAGAGTCTCACTCTTTTGCCCGGGCTACAGTGAGTGCCGTGGCGTCATCCTAGCTCACAGCAACCTCAAACTCCTGGGCTCAAGCAATCCTTCTGCCTCAGCCTCCCGAGTAGCTGGGACTACAGGCATGCACCACCATGCCTGGCTAATTTTTTCTATATATTTTTTTAGCCGTCCGATTAATTTCTTTCTATTTTTGGTAGAGACGGGGTCTCGCTCTTGCTCAGGCTGGTCCCGAGCTCCTGAGCTCAAACAATCTGCCCGCCTCGGCCTCCCAGAGAGCTAGGATTACAGGCGTGAGCCACTGCGCCCAGCCAGGAAATTTCTAGTGTTGTTTTCCCTTGTTTATCACCTTCATTAATGAGAACATCTACCCATCATCCTCTGTTGACTGAGTAACCCATGAAAACAGTTAAGACCTTTCACATTCGTGTTTAATAGATCCTGATTCTATAACCATTGCTCATGGATTCCATTTTTTGTCTTCTCTCAACCCTTTAATTTGGGACTTCTTTCTAAGCTGTCTTTGTCCATTTTATTTTAAGAGGTAAAGCCAAGAAGGATGTATTATTAACTGAAGAATTATATAACCCACTATCAAAAAATACTATAATCTGTTTGAAAATTCAATTATTAGTCTTGATTTTTTAAAAAAATAAATAGTGCTGCATATTTAAATATTTTAATTGCATTAACTTTTCATTATAAAAATGATTTTTAAAAATATCTAGGTTAGACTAATTTTTAGGCAGCAGTCAAGAGTCTGAATTTCAGGGAAAATGAAATATCCAGCCATATTCAGTAAAGCAAAATATAAACTAATTGTTAATATATGTTTTAAGTGTGTATTATAGGTAGTGATTTTACTTAAAAATTATAACATCATTCTTAAGGAAAATAGAGATTTAAACAATAAAATGAAGAATGTTTGGGTAATTCATCAGAGGTACATGCAAGATAGTCACATTGTGCTCGTTACCTCAGTGTGTTTCTCACGCAAATAATTACATCTAACAGCAGAGTTGTTTTCCTCTTCTTTCATTTATCTTCTTTCACCAGCAGATGACATTAATATATTAATTGACAAGTTTGAGTAAAATAAAACAATTATAGAACTGGACAAATTGTCATCTTATATTCCATAATACAGGGATTGGGGTGGGAGAGGTAGCACTTTAAAATAATTTTCACCGTTAGTTTGGTTGAGCCCTGATTAAATTTTTAAAAATGCAAAAATAAATTTTAAAAAATTACTGCAGCCTATTTCAGTTCTGATCTTGGCATCTATGACATGAGATCACTCTTGTAAATAAAATAAATATTTAATATTTAAAGTGAGCAGTCTGCTAAATTGAGAAGATGACTAGAAAATGAGTCTGAAGATTTGCGCACTAAAAACACATCTCTGAAAATGTCAGAGGCCCCCTGTGTTAAGTACACTGCTCTATCCATAGCAAATGATTTAGTCAAATTAAAGTTCACTTGGTTTTGGATGGGAAGATATACATTTTATTTATTCTCTCCTCTCACAGATATTGAAATTATCAGCAAGTATTAATAATATGAAAGCATTTTGGCACCACAGACCATTCTAAAGTATAGGTGATTTTTGATATATCAAAGTAATTCCTTGGAAAACATTCAAGATAATTTTTTAAAATCCAATTGTATTATAGATTATAGAGTTTAGCAACACTAGTCTATATCAGTTAAATGAAGATATACAAATAAATTACTTGATAAGGGACACTACTTTAATCATCAGAAGTTTTTAAGGGTTACCATTAACATTGCTCTATGATGTGTACCATCAGCATAATATTGCTTCCCTTGCTTTTTGATTTAACAATTTGAGAAAGTTAACCTTCATTGTTGAGTATCAGCTTTGAGATTTAGGCTGTTCTAGGCACCTAGGCATTCATTTTTCTCTTATATCTCTTAAAATACTCAATATCATATATGATTTCCCCCATTGTATAGAAAGGGAAACTGAGTCTTAGGTAGATTAAGTAATTAATAAATAGTAGATTTGTGGTTCAAGCCTAGGTTTCCTAACTTAAAAGCCTTAGATTATTTCACAATTATATATTGCTAACTAGGAAAAGCAGATGTTCATTCCAGAAATGTTTTTTTAAGTGTCTATCATTAGCAATGCTCTGGGGATAGAATCTTGCAAAAGACAGACATAGACCGGCTCTCATGGCATTTATAACTTAGTGGCGACCACAAGTAATAAACAAGTGATTACAGAATATTAGTTATAATGTGGTAGGTGGTACAAAGGAAATATACAAGTTATGATAAAACATAAAATGGAGAAAACTTAGTAAGTCTTGAATAAAAGGAGGTCTGGAAAGGATTTCCTGATAAAGTAAGGCTTAAATTGTGATCTGAAATAGGATGCTAAATTAGTTAGATTTTTTTAAAAAGAACAAATTAGTATTTAAAACTATTCTTCAAAATAGAAAAGCA